AAATGAACTTACTAAACTCAACTTAATGAGTTCCATAATTTCATTTGGACCGTGGGAAGCCTTGTTAGCAACCGTAGGTTGCCTCCTCCGAGGGATTCTTGATCATTCGATAGAGATGTCTTAATTTAGTTGAAGTCGTAGTTTTGTGTGATGTTTGTGAATAAATTTTGTGTTGTTTTGTATTTTGAATGTTATGGGAGTGAATTTTATCTTGGTTGATTTTCATTTTTGTTTTTTTAATTTTGGTTTTGATTTTGGTTTTGGTTTTATGGCTATCCTAATAGTTCTAGTTTTCCATGCAAATTTGTATAAGCACAAAAGTATAACATAAAATTACAAGAAAGACAACGCTGCAAACTGTAAAAGTGTACCTGGCGAGTCTTCTCGTTCCACCATCTGAAACTTAAAAATGCATGTTAAGGCAGTTTATGGAGAGCAGGAAAAGTAAAGTTCTAGTGGTTTTCCTAACCTTATGTCATATTTTGGTGGGTCCTTTTAATTAAGGATGATTTTGTCAAACAAAACATATTAAGTTTAGTAGATCTTCAAGACATCCAACAAATCTAGAGAAAGAAACAGGTCCATGCTACTCTCTCGCTGCCTGGTGGAAAATCCCGAGTTCTTTTAAACTTATTATGTTGCTTAATAAGTCATCCTGTAAATACCCTTAATACTCAGTGAACATTGATGTCACAATTATCCATAAGAATAGAATAATTATCATTTGTGATTCAATTTAAGAATTATGTGGGTGAAGACCCATAAAGAGGCAAGTTAGTGTTGTTGGAACACTTCGCCAAATTTTAACCCTAATTGGGCTTAGTGGTGTTTCAAGGATGTTTGATTATGTTATGTTTTTTTGCATTTTTGGTTAGCAAAACATGAGTATTGTGCTAGCTTATGACATAGTTTTGTGAGGAATAGTATTTTTTTTGTAAATTAAAAAAACTTTTAGTTCTCTTTGCTTCTTCTTATTTCACATGAAGGGTCACTTAGTAATCAAATGGCTTAGAGGTTAATAGGTGTTTCTTATAAATGCTCATGTCTTAGACGAGTTAAAAGGTTTTGTTCAGTAAGATTATAGGTCATCCTAAATTAAGGAAGGAGTTTGTTACGTCGATGCCTAGCCTAAGGGTAATTTTGGTTTTTGTGAGCCTAAGGGTAACTTAATCTTTGGTCTTTTATTATTATTTAGAATAAATAGGGCTAATATGTTTAGAGTTAGGGTAATGCAGAAGATTTTATCTTGAGTTGTAGGGTTAGGGTTTGGGAGATATTTCTTACCACTCGAAGAATAGGAATTGGGAGAGATTGTCGACCTCTCAAATTGTAGGCGCTTATTTTTATGTAATTATGTTTTATTTTCTGGTGTTTCTGAAATAAAGATATTAGGTGCCCAAATTTCCATGAAAAATAGAAGTGGATCGAATCAAAGTGGCAGTAAAGTGTTCGATCCGAAAAGCAAAACATCGGTATTACAACATACAGGTTAATTGTTCAAGATCAAAGCTACACCATCTTTCGTGACTGGAACACGAGATACAATCGCAATTTGCACCAGCTAGGAAGAAAAGACGAGATTGTGGCGTGCAACAAGGCACGATATAGTCGCAATTAGCGCTAACTGCAAAGCGACGTCAAAACTGTGGCTTACAATGACGCAATACCAACTCGTTGGGAAGGCAAAGGCAGATCGCACGAGACAGTTGTGATCGGGATAACTGGGAAGAAAAGATGGAACTGCAATGTACAAGGCGTCTAATTCGTTATCGCGATACATTCACGATTTGGAGCAGCAAGGTCACCAACATCATGATCGTTGCGTAAAAGGACCAACGACGGGATCCCATCCGAGCACCACCTAATCTCTCAATCGTGGCGTACAGTACCAATGGAGGGACCAGAACTACAAGATAGAGGTAGCCAACGACATATTTGAGTGGTACAGACGCAATCAATTTGAGGTGGAGCTCATGATATAGACGCTCTAATTTAGTTCAGTTGTAAGTGGCGATCGAACCTAGAGATACAATAGTGATTCTAGATCCAAATTCATTTGCCCAGTCACACTAAATTACTAGCCCACCATTATAAAAGTCAATCTGAGAATAAAGACAGCAAAAAAATAAATGATTTGGGGAAGAAATTGGAGAAAGATGTGAGCCAACATAAATCTGGGATACGAAAATGTTAACAACCATGGACGAAAAATTTTCTTTAATTGAAAGCCGATTTAAGTGCTTGAAGGAGATGGTGAGGAAACTTGTCGAAATGCAATCCAAGACCATGCAAGCAGTTCAATTTGCAAGCTCTAACTAAGGGTTAACCAGAGAATCCTTAGCTAAATCTAAAGGGAATGAGATCGAAAGAGAGGAACACGAGGAGGAAATCATCCCACATCAAGAACCCACTCCCAAGGCACCGATTAAAGATAGATTACAGATTTCTGATGAAGGCGATTGGGCCAAACATGAAAAAGAGGCATGCAAGGGGTTGCAGGAGCACTTGGAAGAAATAGTGCAACCTCTGAACGGATGGAATGAACTAAAACAGGCAAGATTAAATGAAAGAATCGGAAGTAGATTCGAGTGGCAACATGTGGAGAGAATTACACCACATCTTGAGGTTGGGAATAAGGGAGAACTAGTGGAATTTGATGACATGCAATTTGGGGCTAGAAAAGATCGCTTCGAAAAATTTCAGCCTGGAACAAGGAACCATGGTGGGTGGGACTCCGACGGAGGGTTGCATCCAACTGCGTCAACGCCCTTTACAGTGGTAGCCTTCCGGGTCGAAGGTGATTCAGGAGTAATATTAGAGGCAGGGATCATACAGCTTTGTGTGTCTTTCCAGTGAAGAAGACGAATGAGAGTTGATGTTTTTGTGTGGATTAAGCCATGAATCAAGAAACAGTACCTGACAAATTTTCCATCACGGTGATTGATGAGTTGTTGGATGAGTTTTTTTAGGACTGCGTTGTCCTCCAAGATTACTTTGAAGATAGAGCATCAGCAGAGTCTCAGGCGGCCAAAGGTTATGCAGGAGACTACACTACGGACTCCTACGGGTCACTCCAAATCCGAATTAAATAGAAAGAATTCTCAAATGCTGACAACACATGGGAGCTATACTACCTAATCCAACAATTCCACATTGGGGACAAGGTGTATTTTTAAGAGGGGAGTATTGTTACACTGGTGCGTAGCCTAAGGGCAATTTTATCTTTTGTGCGCCTAAGAGTAATTTAGTCTTTGGTAAGTTATTATTATTTTGTATAAATAGGATCAATATTTAGAGTTAAGGTTATACAACATATTATTATCTTGAGTTTTAGAGTTAAGGCTTGGGAGATATTTCCTACCTCCCAATTGCAGGAATTGATAGATATTACCTAACTCTCAAATTGTAGGAGATTATCTTTATATATTTGTGTTGTGATGTTGGTATTTCTGATACAAAGATATTCTGCCCTAATTTCTGTGAAAAAATGACTTGAACTGCCTCATCATTCCCTATTTTGGGGGTGATTTCACCATCCATGAAGGCAATGTAGAAAGAAAATCATAGTGGAGCTCAAAGCTTGACCAAAATCAATTCCAAACCTCCTTATCATTTCTCTTGAGTTTTGCCAAGTTTTTCCATCGGTTCCAAGGTTGGAAAGATTGTCCCCATTTGGCTTCTCCACTATCATGGATGCCTAAGCAATTTTTTGTTCCAGTTCCTGAATTCTTGTTGAGATTCAACCTGAAATGGGTAGAATTTTCAAGTGTTCCGCAGCATTACCGTGGAAGAATTGGTTTGAACGTTCTACCCCTAAATTGGACACATAAGAACCGAGTCTTATTTTCATGATTGATGGACTTTTAAACTAGGATTTATCAAGGAAGGACTCTTGAAAGATTTGTATAAAAGTTTCTACATTCTGGTAGCCTCTTGGCTTCATGAAGAAGGTTATTGGAAGAAGCATGAGTTGAAGATGTGAAATTAGTTAGAAACATAAAATTTTCATTGTATTTTTTCCACAAACTATCAATTGTAATAATCATGAATTAGTGTTTCGCTCTTAAGATTTATATTTATTGGTGATCTTGTATCATTCATTTAAAGTGTCAAATTTTGGTAACAAATCCTAATTAAGACCTGCTTAGGAGAAAACATCCTTGCCAAAATTAAGAGTTAGCTATAGAAGAATCACTTCATAAAATTTAGCAATTACAAATCACATTAGTTTCATTCAGATAACCATTTAGATCGAAAGAAAAATATTCCTTTTATTCAAGTTTTTCAAGAATCCAAAGAGGATGAAAGTAGTCATAGGAGGATACAAGATGTTATAAACACTTTGGGGTTAAGGTTGACATTTCAGATTTTAAAGGTAGGTTAAATCCTAATGATTTCATAGATGGGCCTAATATAACATAGCCCATACTTTGGATATATAGACATACCCACTTATAGTTGTGCAAAATTTGTAGCCATCAAATTAAAGAAAACTGTATCTATTTAGTGGGATAGTCTAAACTAAATAAGGTCTAGAGAGGTTAATAAGTCAAAGTTCATCAAATGATAGAGAAAAAAGAGCTATAAAAAATGAACTTGCCAGCTCATTTCAAGCAATGCGCCTTTATTAAATTTTATTGTGTTATTTCGCATGGCAATACATGTGAACCTTCAATTTTGATGATGTGCATGACTTTCATTGCACATGCATGATGGACTTGCACAGTATTTAATGCAAGTATATGAAACACTTGCACAATCTTCAATATAATTGCATGACGTACTCATGATTTTTAAGGTATTTGAATGAATTTTCGGGGCTAGCAAATCTGAGCACATTTTATTTTTATTAAGCGCAACATTCTTTGGCCCATGTGTTCAAACATTGAACATGAGTCAAAGCACATAGGCAAATTCAATCTTGCTCATGCACATCCTTTCTGCTCATATGCACAATGCATTAGCATGCTTCTTGATTTATTTGCATGATCCATTTGTGCAATTTTTAAAATATTTTGATAACTATTTAATGACGTATGTGCACAGCTTAAGAAAAAAAGTCCAAAATCATTTATAAGAATATTTTATCAATATGATGCATGCAAACATTTTATAAGTGATTTTAAAAGGATGTCTTCTATCCACTCGCATGTATAAGGTATGGATACAATCTCAAAGTTCAAATTGCTAGAAGAGTATCATTTTGTACAATGTCTTAACCTTGATTTATGTGAAGCAACAATCATGGTTCATCATTCTCTATCACTGTTATTGTATTCAACCATATCTCAATGTGAAGTAGGAAAGAATGTCAACAGTGATAAGCAACAGCATTTGCTCATTTTACTTCCACTTTTACTTGTACTACATGTTGCCCTGCCTCATAACTACCATGCTCACCACCTTCAACCCTCGCCATGCCTCTCCTACTTGAGTAGGCCAACCGACATGCATCTCTCATGCCCATCTTCATCTCTAGATTATGCGGGACACAGGTATTGCCCGTGATGCCGCGATACATGGCATTAGCTCCTGCAACCGCGGGAGTCTGGACCGAACTAAGGACTGTATTTTTTCCTTTCTTATTTTCTTTCTTAGTTTCCTGCAAGTTTTCTTTCTTCGCTTCCAAACATTTTGGTTCTTACTATTTTCTTAGTTTCTAATTAAATATTTGATTTGAGGGGACTCCTACATATGATACATTAGGGTTTTTGAGTTTAGTTTTGTAGAGTTTCTTAATATTAAAAGAAGTCTCTCCGAATTTCACTCTCTGGAGTGTTGTGGCATCTCCCTCCTAAGAGGAGTGTCTATAAGTTGCCTAAGAACCGGTGGTGAATCCCTCTCGCCGCCCGCACCTCACCGATATGCCATTCAACCACTGTTTTCTGCAGGGACAGCCGCCGAGCACCTCCAACACACTGTCCAACAGCTAACTTCATCTCTCTTTCCCACTCACATGCCGTATATTCACTGTTTTCAGTCAAACAAGTGTTGACAAAGCTACAATCTTCTGTTCACTGCACAAATCTACAGATCCCGGCTCCCGATTTGCTGCCCCAGCCACCATTTGTGCTGATTATCACTTTATTTCCGTCCTCCCATGCACGGGTATCAATATTACACCCTATTTGACACCTTTGGCGATTCATCACATCATCTAGGAACCCTAGATAGGTGTCACTAGGCAAGCCACCAAAACTTCAGACCATGCAGTCAACCCAATGAGAGCTAACTATTTCATGAATTAATTTAGAATGGCATTTGAAAGTGATGATAGAAGAGAATGGATAGTAAGTGAACTTGTTAGGTATAAGATTTTGATTTTTTTGGATGAAGGGGTGGGAGGTTGGTTGTCGATTGGGGTTTATTTATGAAGTGATGAGATAGAGATAGTCAAAAGGTTATGATGAGGAAATTAGGGTTTAGAGAATAGTGTGAGGGGGAGATGAAAGAATGAGAGGATTAAGTGCGTGAAAGCCTGAAAACATACACTCGAAGTTTTGAATGTAAGTGGTGAGACCAAAAGGTAGGGTTGATTCTCTTGTTGAGGTGGAGTGTGGGAAGATGTGTAGAGGTATCTAGAAATCTTCAAGAATTCTGTGTGTATTAGATTCACATTGCCAATAAACAGCCTCGTGAATTTAGCCAATCATGAATTTTTATGCTCATCAATGCATCATGCATTGCATGCATTTATATTAGAATAAACGAATATTCGTCAATTTAAAAGGTCATGAATTATCATATGCAAGGTTTATACCAACGTATTCATAAGTTACTTACTCAAGGCATGCATATTGCATACACAATATCGCAAATTGCATCAACTAGATAAGAGAAAAGTCAGTATAAAAGAAGAATAAATAAAGCCAAAGAAGAGAAGAAATAAATGAATGCCTCGAAAGGAGGGAGATAAGAGTGCAGAGATGGAAGAAGAGACGAATAGCTAGAACAAGATCGACATTGTTCCTCAGATATAAGCACATATATCCTTAAAAAAATTGATTCCTAGTTTTTAACATTTTAGATAACGTCATGCAACTAAAATCTGTCTTAGGGTCTGTTTGGGGTGACCGCAATTTTTTAAAAAGGTGCTTGTAAGATTGTGGTGGAGAAACCAACTTCTTAGAAAGATGTGATGGGAATTATAAATATTTTTTTTTCAAAAAGTCAGACCAGAGACCGCAGGCTCCTACTCGAGTCAACAATATATATAAGCAACGATACTATGAATACTTAAATACAATGAAAGCAAGTAAAAGTTATTTTTCATTATTAAACATGTAAGAAAAAACAATCTCAAATCATCATAAGAGGCAAATTTTTTAATTTACACTCAGATAAAAAAAAATATATATATAGGTACCATCCTGAAGAGGCTGAGAACACTTTGAGAGTGAATGGCCAACTTCTCCGCAATTGTAACAGAAGTTTGGCTCGATAGTTTCTTCCTTTTCTGGGCAATTCTTGAGGCTATGCCCTCGATGTCGACAAAACAAACAAACCTGGTGAGGACAAGTCACAAATGATATGAATATACTAGGCACATTACACATGAATATAAAAATTTGTGAAATATGAAGCCATCTTATAAAACCAATGAAATTAAAATGATAAAAATCCCCATACATGCTGATTTGGAAATATGATTTTGTCAAATTAATTGAGTTGTTTTATTCATTTAAATCCCTTATTTTGTTGGAGTCATTCTAGTCAATGTTATGAAGTTTGCTACCAGTTTATTAGAAGTTCGCTAAGAATTTATAAGTAATTAGTTAACAATTTGTTAGTTTTTGTTAGTAATTTGTTATTTCTTCCATCTTTAAGTATGGATTAAATCATGGCAAGGTAAGTTATAATATGGTTAAAATTTTTAATTAAGATATAACGACTTATCTACTTAATCTACTTTGGAATTGGCAGGCGAGAGACTGAAAATACTATAAAAAGAATATTATTGTTCAAGCATGAGGATTGGGTATTAAGTTATTGTTTCTTAATCTTTTTAGCTTTCCTCATTTCATTTTTTATTTCTCTAGCTTTTTGAAATATCGTCCTACATGAATGTGTACCCTACAGTTCTGTATCATTTTACGTGCAAGATCTCATTGAAATCAACTTCCGAAAATGTTTACCTATGTTCCAGAAACTATAGCAATTTTTCCCCTTAAAAATAAAACTACTGTTCATGTAACGATGAAATCATTATTAAAAAATCATAAATATAATGGTTAACAAGATAAAATTTAACATCCAGTTTACTTCCTCGTTATCTTCCTCTTTCTAACCCTTCATAAAATATATCTAATCTCCACATATTTAACCATATTCAGATTCAAAGTCCTTGCAAAATTCCTGAATGACTTCCTCAAATAAATTAACAATGAATGTTAAAAATTTAAAACAATCTTAATCCAAGTTTAGCCAACCTTATCTAAAAAAAATTAAACTAGATTGCACAAGTCATCTGTGAATCTCAAGGCATCCATCTTATTTTGCTTGAAATAATTAAATCATCATTTTCAAAGGCATCAACAAAATATAAAGTGCTGTGATTTAGGCTTAAGTTCTCAATAGAAAGTTCAGATTAAAATTCGTGTAAGCTAGCAAATCTTTTGGCATGTATAAATCTCAGCTTTGGAAACCTCTATTAAAATAATTTGAATCAAATTGCATAACTTTACGATATTTTGTTGCCACTAAAATGAGAGCATGTTTCTAGAGTTAAATATGCTACCAACTGCATGATAAAACTAAGATCTAAGTGACAATGATAATCTTCGTACTAGCATGAACTTAACCGATAATCAATAAATAATTAAATTGTGTATGCCATCGTTAGCAAACATAACTTTGGCATAAAACTTCGTTTATGTAGCAGATATTGGAAATCATTTAATCTTGCATATTTACATATTATTTTCATTAAATTATAATTATAACATCATCATGACTATGAACACATCTAATCACCATTAATGATGATTTTATTGTAAATATTCAAAGAAGTCAAGAGGCTATTCAATCCTAACATACGATAACACACATAAATTATCAGGATTTACATTATGATAATGCCAATATTGATATGTCTTATGCCTCAATTTCTATTAGACAGTAAAATTCCAATGCTTTTTTAAGTTAGTTAATGGCTTTATATAACATTTTTGCTATGCATTGGAGACTCGATAAAAGCTGCATCGTCTATTTACACATGGACTGTTCGCTCACACCCATCGATAGGGCATGAAAAGAGACCGGTCCAGCAGGGACAGGTCCAACCCTCTAAAAGCAGCAATTAACCTTCTCTCTATTTATATGTGTTTTTGCTTAAGCCCTAAACAGCAATTGGTTTTATGATTTCAAGTATTGTTCCTGGTGTTTTCCCTCTTTCAATCATTGTATCCTTTGGAGCGTAGTGCTACAGTTGTATCCCACCAAAGTAGTGTGTATCTCCGCTCCATCTCCTCCTCCAAGCGTCACTTCCCACCGTTACCTCCCTCCAAATCCCCTCCTTTCAGGTCGTTATACCCTCATCTACACTTTCCCTCTTCCTTTGTTAAGTCTCCCAACTCCTCAAGCGGACTGATTGCTTCCATCAGCCATCCCCAGCCACAGCACTCCATTCCAGCGCTTCCTCCAGCACGTAGCAGCAGCCTTCTAGTCGTTGCCACCCTCTCTAGCACCTCTTGTTGCAAACCACCGACCTCTCCATGCCCACCCAGCACCACTCCAATTATCGCCAGTCACAACGACGTTCATCCAGCCGTTGCTGACCCTTCCCAGCCCTCCCCGATGACTTCTTAGCTGCACTCTGATGCCCCAGGACTGTTTCAGCCCTTTTGTGTTTCGTATATTATTATTTGTTGCGTTGTCGGGTCTTTTATTATTGTCTGCTTGTTTGTGTTGTTTTTCCATTACGAGTCGATGTTATATTTCCTTCAAAGTCAGCAATAAAATTATGTCATTTGAATCATGGTTTGGGTTAACTCCGTTATCATTTTATATCAAAGCAAACTCAACCTTTAGTCCTAACCTAGGGTTCCCTAGCATCCTCCCCCACCCAATCCACCAAAATTTTCTCTCCCTTCTTTCTCTTATTTGTCTCTTCCCTCTGTTCCTTTTCTTCTTGTTTTCTCCCCCTTCCTCCTCTCATCCCTTCTCCGAAACACTTCTAATCATGCTACCACATCGATATGCACAGGAACCAACCCAAGAACAAATACAACGATAGATCTAATCACTTACAACAATGTTTGACCAAGATGGACAACGGAACTCAAGGCGATGTTACTCTAGACCGACACATCAGAAGCCTAAGAAGAGATTGAGACGATGACCGAAATCATTTCACCGGTATGACGTCAACAATGATGAATATCGCTCACACACTTTGGCATTCACTATCACTGGAGACCATGGAACCCCCGTTCGGCACCCACCGAGATTTCAAAATCAAAACAGACCTACCAAAATTTGATGGAAGCATAGACTGCGACGACTTCAACGACTTCATCGACTGGTTGCAAGTGATCAAACGCATCTTTGATTACAATAAGGTGTCTGAGGACAAACGGATTAAGTTTGCCGCTATCAAACTAATGAAAAGTGAGTAATTATGGTGGGACAAATTGCAACGATGACGACAACACGATGGGGACAAGACCTTAAGTAGGCCAAAATAAAGAATGCAATGCAAATAAAATACCTTTCACCCCACTATCGCCAAGACATGTTCCTTCGGCTCCAAAAACTACAACAGTGTGACCTATCAGTCCAGGAATTATAGCACAATTCGATCATCTATAGATGAAGTGTGACCTGGTTGAACAAGAGGAGCACACAATAGCCAGCTATCTCGAGAATTTAAAAACTGCCATTAGCAACATTGTACAAGTCCAATCATATTAAACGCTAAACAATGTTCAGACCATCACATTAAAAGTTGAGCGATAACGGAAGTAGGCTAAGTCTCAAAACTTCTTCCGACAGCATTCAACATTCAAACCATCACCCCAAACCACATCTACCCCAAGACCACGAAGGAAGCTGGCAAGACACTACCAGGAAGCACGAAAACCACCCCGAGTGGCACAAAACCCGAAAGAAAAAGTTTCTCCATAACAGTTCCTACAAGAAAATGTTTTTGGTGCTACAGGTACAACCACATCGCCGCCAATTGCCCCACCACCCGCCTTGTCTCTTTTACTGAAGATGTCATTGAAGAGGTCATGAAAATCGAGGAAGCTCAATCTGAGGAAGGTTTAGAAGAAGCACTTCCCCTCCCCGATGACGAAGGTTAACTATTGGTCATACGGAGGATTCTTTAGTCGAAACTCGACAGAGATCCATCATGCCTACGACACAATATCTTTCGTACTGCATGCATTGTTAAAGGCAAAATTTGCACACACACACACACACACACTTTGTTCCACGTTGGCAATTTCTCTGTTGATTTTTGCCTTCGCTCCATCAATGATCTCTAACATTAATCTACATCGACATTCACTAAAAATACACTCCATCAACACTTTCTATTACTAGAAATAGCGAACTCATGTCACTACTATTCTTCAATGCTCTTAATTAATAATCATTGTCAAGGCTATTTGTTTACTCTTTTTGGAGACAATCTCCATCAATGCTATATATCACTACCCTCCATAAACAATCTCTATCATTACACTTTGTTGATGTCGTCTATTACCACTCTCTGTCAATGTTCACTATTACTATTTCTCTTTGCCGACGCTCTCTATCAATACACATCTTTCACACACTCTAGTGACCCCTCTCTTTAATGAATCTCTCAATCAACACTTTTAATTGTTGTGCCTTATTAACACAGATATCTTTTTGAAGGAATAATTTCCTTCTTGTTGAAAATTTTAGGGTGAAGAAAATCAAGAATCGACGCAAATCAAGAAAACACAGTTGTTTAATGAGGTTCAACAAAGACAACTAAGTCCTATTGTTTTCAACCAGGTCACACTTCAAGAAAACACACACACACACACACACACACACACACACACACACACACACATATATA